TTTTTTTTTTCACTTGTGGGATACCACCAGTGAAATCTTCAATCTACAGTGATCAAGGTAGGTCAAACTTTACTCACAACACATAATAAAGCCTACAGAAAGGAAAAATGTAGCCTTAGAAATGAGGATTTGAAAGCTATCTGCAACAACAGCAAATGGAATTGCAAGTTGCAGCAGGCAGAGAGGCACGAATAAAGTTTGTTGCAAGGATACTGACTTTTTATTATCTAGTCATATATAACAAACCCTTGTGTATAAATTCTTTTCAGCCCATCACGTAGGTGAAAACCGTACAAACTCGACTCGATGATCACCTGAGGTCATGGGCGGAGCCACCCTTGGACATGGGTGGGCTCCAGCCCCATGTAATTTTTTCTTCTTCTTTAGTTTAGTATAGCTTATTTTATTTGTAGCCCCATTTAAATATTAGTTTAGCCCGATTTAGTTTATATGCTTTTAGGAAGAAACTCAATAATTTATTAATTTTCATCTCAAAGGTAGAAGAGGTTTGAGCATTTTTTATAAAAAACATACACAAATTATTGTTTATTCTAATTTTATTTTACAATTTTTTAAGAAGATTGTTAATTAATATTTGTTTTAATAGTGATATTTCTTATGTTATGTAATGATCAAGAGCTAATAGGAATTGATTTGTGATGAAAAATTTTAAAATGTACTTAGTTTGCACACAAAGTTATTTGATGAAAGCACAACTAAACAATTGAGATAATAAAATTTAAATTTGTATAGACTAAAATTTGCATATTTGGACATGATATAAAATTTGCAAATTTGTATAGGCTAAAATTTGCATATTTAAATATATATACTTTCTTTATCGTTTAACAGGTTGTGTTTCTTCTTATTGTTTTCTTTTTTATTTTGGTTGATTCATATTGAATTATGTATTTGAAATAATATTGGTTATTCATGTAATTTATATTACATTACATATGGAATATATCAATTACTTTATATTTTAATTTATATATTTGTTTCCTCTAGAATTCAAATAGAACATTTATTTTGTGATTCGACTTATTTTAATAATTTAGATTTGGCATTCATTGGATTCTTAAAATACACCTTCATTCATTTAACTTTGTAATTCATGTAAGTTGTATTGAATATTAAAAAGAATTATTTTTATACATTGGTTTCTTATGGCATCTAGCTAAAGCTGTTATTCGAGCCGAGGCAAGTGGGATATCTCATGTTCAAACTTGTGATTATTTATAAACAAGCTTGATTAGGTATTCGAGCTTAGCCTTTGAAGTGTATGAAATAGTTGAGTTCGAGCTTTCACGTGCCAAAAATGAATTGTGTTCGTGAATAGTTTGATCTGAATAATAGCTCAATGTTAAGCAGCCCCGGGTAGAAAAAAATCCTGGCTACGCCCCTGCCTGAGGTTGAGCTGAGATCAAGAAGACTCGCTAATTCAATGTACACGCAAATGTATGCATACATATGAAGACGATATCTCAGCAGTCGAAGAACAAGAACACCACCACTTCGTCGAATTATTCTTCTTCCCCCTCATTTTTAACTTTAACCAACTCAAAATAACTTAATGCACAAGATACACACACACACACACAATTAAGACCAAATCAACGTTATCGTCCCTTTCCCGGCGACTGTTCGGATGGCGGGAGGCTATACAACGACTTGAGCTGCCTGCTGATCAACTTGCTACTATTCAGTGCCATCTCCAGTTCCATGTCGCTCGACCACCATTGCTCCAAACCGTGCGCCTCCACAAACTTCTGCTTTCCCCCTTTCGAAAAAACCAACACCTTAGCCAAACACGGCCCACTCTCAACTTTCGCCCCAACTTGACCATCCGTATAATAGCAACAAATGTAGTCCCCACTGTTTATATACAAATGAGGCACCCATACCAGTTGCTTCGATCCGTTTTCGTTCTCAGCCCGCTGGGCCCCGTCCCCGTTCATATACGGGAGCATGGACCTAACCCGGTCCCACACGAACCAGACACTTTCCCCCACGGTTTTCAGACCCGAAGCAAGAGAAACCGAGGGTGGGTTGAACAAGTGAGCCTCCACGCACAAGCCCTGTTTGGCTAAAGCCTTCCCGACCTGAAGTGCGAATCCTGCCCCCAAGGAGTGGCCCGCCACGCACACGTTCCGGCTGCCGTATTTTTCCGAAACCTTCCTCAGCGCCTTTAGGCCGAGGCCGAACCTGAACGACCCTTTCAAGCTCTCCCAGGCTAGGAACCTCAAGTCATCCTCAATGTCCCGCCTGATTGTCGGGCTCTTGAGAAGGGTCCCCCTGAAGGCCAGGACTGCCTGTGGGGCCCCATTGGGTCTCGTGAGAATGAAATGGGATAGGGCCGCCGCACGGTCCCATTCGAGTACTGCCCCGAAAATCGACCCGTCTCGTTCGTCCATGAGGACTTCGGTGAGCTTGTATTTGAACGGCGTCCACCATTTTGGGGCCAGGGCATTTTCGTCCTTCCGATTCTCTTGCCGGTCGAGTTCGAGCAGGTAGACTGCTTGTATGAAGCAGGCGATTACGGTCCTTTTGTAGTTGCTGTCTTTCCTGTAATTTTTATCACGTATGTTCATTCAAAAGTTCACAACTTTGAATGGAAAATGAACATAAAGAAAGAGCAAACAAGTGAAGGGAACTGACCAGGTAGAGCTGATTATCAGGTCTTTCCAGCTAATAGAAGGGACGTTGCGGGGCCCACACACGTCGAATGCATCGCGATGGGGACCCGTATTCTCCATCTGGCCAGCGTGACCCGAAAAATCTGCAGTTTATTATCTCTGCTCTGTGGGTGTATAACTTGTATGCAAGGCCAGGAGCGCATGCATGAATGAGCGGACAGAATAAAAGATTTTATATGTGAATAAAGGAGAATTGTGGACGGCTGGCCACCATTGTTTTCGGGCATGCGATTCCAAGGAATAAATGCAGGATTTCAAAGCAAATACAGAATAAAGGACAGATTCTTGACAATCACCTCTATTCTATTATTATTATTATTATTATTATTATTATTATTATTATTATTATTATTATTATTATTATTATTATTATTATTATTATTTTGTAGCTATTGGACAGAGGAGCAGAAGATGCTCAACAGATTCAACCCCTTCTCCACAACCTTTACAGGTTTGGTCTAAGATGATCTTTTTTTTTTTTTTTGCCCAAAAATTGCTAGCAATGGGGAGAGTGTTAGTGACACAATTCCAAAGGAAATGTTTCAGTTTGCCTTGGACTTTGAGTGACAAGCTCCTTTTCTTCATGATTGTTTCCATTTTTTGATCTTTACTATTGTTGATGTAGAAAATCGGACGATCAACGGTTAAATAAAAGTCGAATTTCTTGGACGAAATTGTAGAACAAAATGGTCAAAACTGGGTGTTTTATTTCTTATTTTGAAGAGAGTATCCCTTTCTTTTGTTGTTGGGCAAGAATGAGGAGAAGTCCCCTTCACTCTCTCTCCTTTTTTACATTATATTTCCCTCCCACTTTCTAAAAGTGGGTGTTTAAAAAATAAATAATAAAAATTAATACATTTTTATTTAATGTAAGATAATTATTGTGAGGACCGCCTACAATTTCTGACGGCTTCGATTGACGTCTATTTGAAGCGACTTCTAGGTGATCAGTCTTGAGAACCTGTTTATATATTTATTTATCATGTATTTTCGGCTCATTGATTATTGGAGCGTATTTTATTATTTTATTGATTTATTAATTAATTAAAGCTAAATTGGGTATCAACAGGAGGCCCCCGAGTTTAGGACATGTTCTGAATCGAATTGTTCTGAAGCATTACTCTTTACAATTTGGCGATGTCTTCGCCTCGTAATCTTTTGAGCTTCAAGCTCTTTATATCGCATAAGAGTATCTTCATAATGAGAGTCGTTGGTGAAATCATAAATATGTTGACAAGTACGCATGGTAAATAATTTTTTCGCGATCCATGAGATCACTTTTATCCATGAGATCACTTTTATCTTCTCAGTTTTCCCTTGAATGCTTTTAGCGCGCGG